CCAACCAGAATACGCAAACTTACATTTTCCCATCTGTTTTACTCTGCAGTTTCACTACATATGAGAGCCAAATCACTAGACGCCCCGGCCTGAATCAATCACATGAGCACGCTGTTGTTAATATTAGGAGGAAAGATTTGGAAAAACATGATTGAGACTTTTTAAGGGCCTTGATTTTCTCATAATTGATTTTTCAACTTTTAATACTTTTTTAGACCCCACGAACACCCTGGTATAGGTGTTTCCCAGTACTCGATTGCATCCACGCATAAAACATATGCCGGAATAGTTGGTGGTTCATTCCGCTGTGGCGACCCCTGATAAATTAGGGACTAAGCCGAAGGAAAATGAATGAATGAATTTTGCGATTTTGAGGGAAAGCACTAATTTTTGTAAGCCTGTCATTTTATTGTTTACATCTAGAAATTTATAGAAAAAAAGTCAGAATTGTAAGTTGTGAACTTGTAAAAAAAAAAATTTATTTTGAGGGGGAAAAGTAAGAATTTCTGAAAACCAGTTTTTTGTTTATATTTAGAAATTTTGAGGGAAAAAGTTCCAAACTCTGAGATGTAAAATTATTATTTTTGTGTATATTTTACAATTTACACTGAAGAAAATCAATTTTGAGTTGTAAACCTATAATTTATATTTTAGAATTTTCAGTGGAAAAAGGGCAGAATTATAAGATACAAACTTAGAATTAAAACATAATTTATTTTGGTTAATATTTAGCAATTTTCAGGGAAAAATGTCAGAACGACTTATGAGATATAAACTAAAATACGAGTTTGCATTTTGCAATTTTCATGGGGAAAACAATTGTGCAATATAAATTTGTAAAGAAAATTATAATTTTGAAGGGGAAGTAAGATTTTTCTGTAAATCTTTTAGTTTATATTTTGCAATTTGTATTTAAAAAACAAATGTCAGAATTGCAAATGTGTAATAATTAAACTTAAATTTTGCAATTTTCAGAGGAAAAAAAGGCAGAATTTTGAGATTATTTTGATGGGTTAAGGGTTAGGGTTATTTTTTAAATTTATATTGATATTTTGAGGAAAAGGGATTTAATTGTAAGATATAAACGTATAATTTTCAGTTTATAATTTGTAATTTCCAGGACAAAAAGGCAGAATTGTGAGATGTAAAATTGTAAATATTTAGTTTATATTTTGTGATTTTTTAGGGAAAAAAACGTTTAAATATTTTGTTTAAAATTTGCAATTTCAATGGGGAAAGCACACATGTTGTAAACCTGTAATATTTTAGTTTCTATTTTGAAATTTTCAGGACGAAAAGGCAGAATTGTGAGATGCAAACCAGCAATTATTTAGTTTATATTTTCATTTAAAATGTAAACTTGTTTTTGTTTTGATTAATTTTTGCAATTTTGACGAAGAAAGCACAAGTTTTGTAAACCTGTATTTTTTTGCCTATATTTAAAACCATTTTTTTAAGGGAAAAAAGGAAAACAATTTAGATTATTTTGAGTGGTTAAGTTAAAATATTTGTAAACCTGTAATTATTTTAAAAATTTTATATACAAATTTTGAGGGGTTGAGGGAAAATTATGAGATGTAAAACTGACACTGATGACTTTGTTGTTTTGCGATTTTCGGGGGAGACGCAGAATTATGAAATATAAACTTTTTAGTTTAAATTTTGCAACTTCGATTGGAAAAGCACAAATTTTCTAAACCTGTAATATTGTTGTTTATATTTTGAAAAATTGGGGCAAAAAAGTCAGAACTGTGAAATGCAAACTTGTAATTTTCTTATTTTGCAATTTTCAGGTCAAAAAGGCAGAATTGTGAGATTTAAACTTGATAGTTTGTAATAATTGATACTATTAATAGTTTTATGATGAATAAAGTGTGATTGAGACAGTTCATAACTAGAAATTGTTAGACATAACCATGAACTTGAGGAAAAATTATCATACATCATATAAAACTTTCTATTCCACTGCCGAAAGATTCTTCATACACTAAATAAACGCAACTGTAAAAATAGGAATCTTCACCTACTGCATATGCAAATATTTAAAAGGGACCTATTATGCAAAAATCACTTTTATAAGCTTTTTACACAGTTGTGTGTCAGCAGTGCCTAAATATAACCAGCTTCTAATGGTAAAAATGTATAAATTGTATTTGTTATAATCAGACTTGATGAAGAACTTTAACATTCTCCCGTCGTATATGTCATCAGAGAGGGAAATTAGAGACATTCCCTCCCTCATTAGCATAGGACAGCAGTGCTGTTTTAGAATCTGCCACTATGCTGACACACAGGCATTTGCAGCTCCGCCCTCTTTTAAAAAGAGGACATCTCATTTGAATTTAAAGCGACAGTCGCCAAAACCCCACAAAAATAGTATCAAAGTCTAAATGGGTCAGTTTCAGAGTTATTAAACATTATTTGTGTGGTATTTTGAGCTGAAACTTTAAAATATTTCAAACCTCAACAAATATTTGTTAGAAAGGTCACCAACAATCAAATGAAGAGTTTAAAAATCGGATTTTTTTCTCAAAAATGATCCTTTTCTCATGCAACTCTGTGTGTGTGTGTGTTCACTTTTATAGCAAAGAATAAGCTATATTTTGTTTGCCTTCAAAGTGAAATAATTGAACATATCCATAAAAGCCTGATTAAAAATAGCATATTATAGAAGAAAATATCACAGCACTTAGAGATGTTTGCAACTGAACTCTTCAAACGCAAGTTTAATTTGAAAACGAAAGGAAAATAGGATGTTTTTTATACTATTGACAGCTCACAGCATGTGTTTTTCAGTTTTTTGAACACGATCCTGCTGTTACGGAGGACCAGCGCGACTGACAGAGTCATTATTTTACCTGAGGAGTCACTGTGAGCACCAGCTGCTCCACATCTCTCCGTCCTCCACAATGACCTGTCATATAGCGCGTGTCTTACAAATATTACATGCGCAGGGAAACATAAGGCCTGACAAACCCAACAGATTCACTTTTGGAACATCATCACACTAATCCCCCTCAGCACTAATAGTCAGTAAGTGCACATGAAATCCAAAATCACAATGTTGATTTTGTTAGCTTACAATGCTAGTTTTGTGGTGAACAGTTCATCTGTGCATGTCATCAAGGACAAAAATAGTTTGCCCTTGTAATCTTTAATTGAAATCTGAACATCCTGTTTGTTTTCAGTTAAGTTCTCAGATTACGTCTTACTGAAGTATTGGGTGTGGCTAACATACTTAACTACGCCCCTCCAACTGTAAGTCAACAAACAGAAATGGTGAGAAGGAGGAGTCTGTTAGACTGTAATAACTCCCCCAAACACTTTTCCCCATCTTTCTGAATGAAATGCCTATTTTACTACATCCAATCAGCTCACAGCAGAAACAAACAAGCCACACCCACTGTTTTCTTATCTTATATTCAGTTTTTCTATAGAATCTGCATCATTAAATAAAAAACGGTCAGCTTCTGGTTCATGTGGACTACAGTAATAGGACTTTGCATGATATACAGTAGGGTATATGCAGAGCTAGTGCTGTTCCCATGCTGATACACTTCCGATGACCTGTTATTGTGAACTTTTTTCTACGGTTTTTCTACGGTTCCTTATACAGCATCGATGTTGTAATGTCATTAAAATACAATCAGTTAAATAAACTTTAGCATTTTTTTGGTTGCTCAAGCGTAAAACGAGACAAAAAGCTGTTTACTCGCACGCGCCCGTCAGAATCGGCAGGCTAACGCAGAAGCTCCATTGAATATACTGGGGTAAAATAAATGCTCATATTATAAAGATTTAGCAGGGGAAATGTAATTTAATGCAGTGCTTCTTGTACAATCTGAGACCCACTTCATATCGGATATCACTCAGCTAGTGGAGATCGCTGATTTTTAAAGAAAACAGACCTTGAACTCACCGGATTTTGCATTGGCATTCATTTCGCCGGAAGCGCTTAACCCAGGTTACTGGCAAATTAAAAGTCCTATTAGCATGCTTCGGCATATACCCCATTGAAGTCAGAATTATTAACCCCCCTTTGAATTTTATTAATTTAATATTTCACAAATTATGTTTAATGTTAAAAATTTAATGTTTAAAAGTTATGTTTTTATGTTAAACTCCCTTGCTTAACTTGTTTCAAATGTAAAATAGGCCTATTTAACATCGAGTGATACTTTAACTCTGCGAGTTTACTTAATTAAAAATGTTGTTTTATCTTTGTCCATAAAATAAAATGATGCAGTAAAGTTTCAATGATCTATGCTAAGCTAAAAGAGCTACCGCCAGACCTAGAGATCGGCTTTATGGATTCAAAAAGGGTAAAGCTCACTTGTTTACCTTGTTTAAAATGAGCCTTTTAAAAGTCAAGTGTTACTTTAACAGACATCCCAAGTCTCCCGGGAGTTGCGGGAGTATCCCTCAAATGCATAGACACTCCCAGATGCCCGCAAATGAATGATAATCTCCCGGAAATCGCGCGCTTTCTGCCCAGTCCTTGAATACGTTGCACAGCCCTCTCTACACCGCATCCCTCGTAGCGCTTCAGGTACGTTGTGCGCAACTCACCCCACCACTCTTTAAGTAATGTTATGTTGCGTCGCACACGCAACTCCCACCGCTCTTTGGGTACGTCTCGCGCGCACACGCCCCCCTACCCAGATACGTCGCTCACTCAACACACCCCAACCCCCTGCTCTTCATACACCCACTATCCCGCTACCTCCCGCAAATCAACTCTGTATCCCCCGGAAATGACTTTTCCCAACTTGGGATGTCTGCTTTAATTGCTCAAATTTGAGTTAATTAATTTATTAAAACATTCAAATGAATTAAAAACATTGTTTTATGCTCATTCATCCAATAAAAGGATGCAGTTTAGTTACAAGCACCTAGTTTTTATGACTCAGGGACTCGATATTTGATTTGAACAATCCAGTTACTGTTAAAGCGACAGCTCTGCCATTTTACAGCGTCAACATTCACTAATATAAGAATTTTCGCACCAAAATCAAGTAGACAACAATAAAAAAAAGGTGATTTTTCTTTTTTTGGTATGTTATTGATCATGAAAGCAGCTGGTTTATTTGAACGTCAGCCAGCGTTTGGGATTCTCTATCAGTATCTTGTCCACCTGGTTCTGAGTGATGCCTCGGGACAGCATTTTGGGAACTATGTTCTTGAGGATGTGGGAGAAGCCATGGCCGCCGTACTTGGTGAGTCGGTGTTTGGTGTGGATGTCGTGGGCAATGAGGATTCGGTCTTCATAACCTTCCTGGATCAGGAATTTCAAGCTGGTGAAACAAAACCAAATGACTCTCCGACATTACAAAATGGATCTCACTACATTTTTGCAACCAATCAAATTTGCAGAAAACAATCATGTACTGATTACTAGAAAGAGAAATTGAGGCAGATGTTTATGAGGTGTCTAATGAATTACATATAATCTGGATTATGATGTCAGAATATGACGTCTTCATCTGATTAGTTCTGATTAGTATCTAACCAACCTTCTGTCTCTATACAATCCAACCCGCTCTTTAATGCGGTGTTCACACCAGACGCAGTACGCGCGGATAAATCATGCTATTCGTGCGTAAATAGACAAGTGAACATTTTGAGTTTACTCGCTTCATTTGTGCGTCAAATTCACTGAGCAATAGCAAGGACTGTAGCTTCGTTGCTAAATGGCTACCATTGATTTAATTAAGAGAATAACTGTGTTTATGTGCTTTGGGAAGGCTGAAAAACAGCGTGGATTCATTTGGAGCCGTGTCTGAGTCCGCTAGATCCTTTCAGAGGTGCACCCAGCTCTGGAGTTCATAAACTCCTGCAGATACCATTATCCCTGGATGATGAAGGCTTTCAGCGATGCTTCCAACTGAGCTGAGCCCAGTTTGATTAACTGTTGTCTGGTGTCGGCAGGAGGATTTCCCCCAGGCGCTACGTCATAAGCACAACACCCTACAGGAGAAAGCTCCTGATTGGTGAGCGTGGGCGCGAATGTCTGCTGTAGTTAAGATTTTCGAACTTGAGAGATTCGCACAAAACGCTCGTCAATCACGCAAAATGCCCTTAAATATAAATTTTAGGTCTGCTTCAGTGAACTTGAACAAGTATATTAAAATCCATTAATTTCGCCTAGTTCAGTGGTTCTCAAACTTTTTTTCATCAAGTACCACCACAGAAAAAAATTGTCTCTCCAAGTACCAACAAAAATGAGCAGTATTGAAATACAGTGGCGTAGTAGGCCCGGTAAAGCAGCTACAACTCTGCATAGATAAAAAAAAAACATGGCAGATTACTTCAGAAATATAGGCTATATGTCAAATATGGCATATTATTAGCATCATTTTTGATAAATTTTGAATGTGTGTAGCATGTACATGACATATTTCATTCCTCCGCGTACCACTAAAGCCTGCGTATCACTAGTGGTATACGTACCACAGTTTGAGAACCACTGCCCTAGTTGTATTAGTATTTTTTTCAAAGTCTGCTTTAAATGCTTTAAAAATATATTAAATCTCTGTAGACTAGAAATATATGTACGGTATATCATTTTTTTTTAATGTGGGCAATACATTATAGATTAATTTTATTTAACAAATATTACATTGATCTTATTTTTTTAATTCAACTATGGGGTGCGGCTATAGGGGGCCTACAAGACATTGTGCCCAGGGGCCTCTGAATTATTAATCCGGGCCTGGTGATGGAAAATTCAGATTTTTCAGCGGATGTTTTGAACATTATGTAGTCAGCAATAGTGATTTCAGTCAGTTAAAACATCACCATGATCTGAAAAAAATGTCTTACAGTAAAGTTTTACTAACTGTAAACCCAACTGAATCATGCTTCACTCATTTAAATTTCATTACGATTGTCTGTTATGAAATAAACTTACGTTTTTCACCAGATGCTCTCATTTAAGCCCTCGGTTCACCCGCGCTGCAGTTGTTCCAAGTTCAGTTCAGTCATACAGCAGGCTGTATCGTTTGTGTTTGGTTCACTGAATCACGCATGCGCAGTATTATCGGTTTACCGCCCCTCAATGTAACGTTACTGTTCTAATAACTGAATGAGAGTGTATATTGGATAATTTAGAGTCAGATGGGGGGTATTAGGCTTGTTATTAAGTAAGAATTGGGTGGATAAGTTCTTACTGGAGATGGGAATCATTTCAAATAATTCAGTTCGATTTGGTGAACTTGTTCAACCGGTTCACTTAGAAGATCCGGTTACAAAGATTCGTTCGCGATCGTGTTACAGAAATAAAACCCATTATTGGGCACAAATGTGTTAAGGTAATAGTTTTAAGTCTCTGTATTTAATGCTGTCACCGTGCTGCTGTCATGTCCACGCGTTTTTGTCGCGGGAGCAACAGAGAGGATGACTCTAGGAGAACCGGCACGATCTGGCCAATGGCAGCAGGAGACTCTGAGGTGCGAAAGGATCAAACACAAACACCTGCAGCGCGGATTATATTTACTACTAAAAGGCTTACAGTAAGATTATTTATTAAATACATTTACATAACGAAAACGAAGGAGGTTTTTGCTATAATTCCAGTTAGTTTCAGTTAGTTTTTTTATGTACACAATACAGTTTCAGTTAGTTCTAGTTGTTGAAAAAACTCTCGTTTTTATTTTTATTTCAGTTAACGACAATTATTTTACATTTTAGTTTTTGTTTTTTCGATAACTATAATAACCTTGGTTTGACACCCCTGCTTTAAGATATTATATTACTGTTTATGCATGTCTGATTACAATTCGTAAGTAATTCACCCATCTCTAGTAATGGCTGCTGTGTTTTTCTGATCACAGAAACTACTCACCTCTGGACCCTCTGGCTGTCGCTGGGCATGTCCACATTACGGTTGAACTGGTAATTGAGAACCTCCGTGCCAAAAAGATCATATTCCAGGTAGCTTCCCATTCTCGCAAACTCCAGCAGCTCTCCGTGATCATATATGCTTCTGTAAGGCACACAAGTGACAAAATAGAGGTTATTCAAGTAGATCAAAAGCCCAGAAATAGCTCTCAAATGTCAGATTGTTCTGAAGTCAATGCACTTTTGAATGGGATTTTAATTAAATTAAAATAGTGTAGACATAAAATACATTCTGCTTTTTAGTTTGTACTTGTTTTGGGACTACAGAGGGCAGAAATTGCACCTGATACTAAAATGCATTTCTTGTCGGTTCGACCGTAAATGGATGGGATTAAATACAGGCACAAACGGTAGAAATTGTCATGACTTGTCCACTTTCAGACAACTTTCACAAGCAGTCGGAAAAGCGTCCAAAAGAACGATGTGGTCAAATGAGTTAAAAAGACAAGATCTTTGTAGAATGTGTTATACGAAAAGCAAGGTAATCATGTTAAACCTGTTAATACCAGGTACAACCAAGCAATGAGTCTTGGTTGACTTTTTGTGAAGACACGTTAATACCAGGTTGAAACAGAGATAATAAACGTCATCGAATGGCAAACAGGTAAACTTACATGAAAGCTTTAGCGAAGGTTCTACCAGGAAGACTGAGATGTCACGTCATTCATAATAATTATCTCGTCAGCCTATAACAACCAAGCAAGCCATGTATATAAGCTCATCTAAACAATCTGTTTCGCTGTATTCAGGTGACGTTGCGGAAGTTTCCCTCCATCCTCCCCATCACCACCACCACCAGGTTGGCCTCGTCTCCACTCAGGGGGTTGGCTTCGCCTTGCCTTCATCTTCAGGCAGGATCTGCCAGCTCATCCAGAGTTCTGCACTATAGACGGGGCTTGCGCCAAAGAACTTTATGAAAGGACCGTAACGAACTCTCAGTTATGCAAACAATTCACAATAAATGTTCAAACGTTTATGTGCCTCCTAGAGTCTTTCTGGTAGATCTTACCGGTTACTAGGGATGTCCCAATCTGGGTTTTTTTGCCCTCGAGTCCGAGTCATTTAAATTTGAGTATGTACCGATAGGATAAACTTTTTATTCGATAAGAAAAGATGCGCATAAACTGCAATGGAAACACTTTTACCGCACAAACTCCAGCATGCGCATTAAAAAAGGTCATGTGATTTTGTTAAAAGAGATCATGTGATGTTTAAAATGTGTGTGAATGGATAAAACGTTTGGCTGAGCACATTATAAAACATCTGAAATGTTGTTTTGGTCATTATAAAACGCCTTACCATTTCAGTGTTAATGTTATTATATTATTAATGACCTCCAGAATCAAGAGCGCCTGTGCTCCGCGTCTGACACCTTCAAACGCCACCGTGCGCTCACTGCTTGTCAGGATTGTCTTCTGAGGCGCATTCATTTAGAAAAGATTGATGCAGCTTCTCCTACTGCAGCAAATGCAGTTTTTACTGTTGATATTTGGCGCCAGTTAATCAGGAAGTGACGATTTTGTTCGCTTTGACTCGTTGGATGGAAACGATGCTTCATTCGCACAACTTTTAAGCGATAATCCAGTTTTGCGCATAAAGTTTATTCGCATTTTTGGATGGAAACATAGCTGGTGTTGTATTGTCGTCTTTCAGGTTGTATTTCAGCTTTAAAGCGCTTTTTAAATAAATACAAAACAAAGCAGCTGCTTGCCATCGCGACAGCAATAAGATCCATTGACAGCTGATCTCTTTCACTCTAAAATGGCGGAATCCAGGGGTGTTGCTGGGCGCTGCTGTTGCAATGGAACGTTCTATTTAGTGTCGCCTCTTGGTCATTCCAAGCTCTTTGACACAATTCATAAATATGCAAATTCAATTCGCAAGTTCAAAACACGATTCGTAAACACACAAATCCAAATCGTAAATTCAAAACACAATTCATAATATACACAAATCCAATTCATTTGGCGAAAATATTGATGATATTTACTAGTGAAATCACAAATTGTGTGTTTTATTTATGAATTGTGTTTTAATATTTGTTAAAGTATTATTTTTGAGACCGATCTGGCTCCATATTTTCTCACCTGTCCAGATGAGACATGACCGTTTTCGAGATGTCTCCTCCTGCCTCCTGCAGAATGCGGATGACCTCCACCGGCGCCTTATTGTCCCGACCGGGGTGGATGATGACGGGACAGCCGAGCCGAGTCTGAGCATGAGCAGTGGCTTGCAAGACCTTCTTCTCACTCTCTGTGATTGGCCAACTTGTGCCGATCTCTCCGATCACACCACAGCGGATGTCAGTGCCGTCTGCTCCATGAAGCACCTCACTCACAATGACATCGGTGAGCTGGAGGGGCGGAAGAGATAGAAATTAGAGTCTAGAAGGGATACAGATGCAGATACGTCAATATAGCATCATTTTTGTGACACTGTACAGCAATTATTACTGTTTTTACATTACTTTAAGGTTTGGGTTTATGGGTAGACCCTAATAAAATACAATTTATTGAGTAATTTAATAAATAAGAATAATACTGGGCATAATTGCTGTTTCTACATTACTGTGAGAGTTGGATTTAGGGGTATAAGTTACAAACATACAATTGTATGAGTAATCTAATAAATAATATGAAATAATACTCAATATAATTATTGTTTTTACATTACTTTGAGGCTTGTGTTTAGGGTTGAGGTAGGTGTAGACGTTAAAAAATTCTATTTAATACGTAATTTAATAAATAATATGAATAATATTAGGTATAACTACTGTTTTACATTGCTGTGAGGCTTGGGTTTAGGGGTAGATGTTACTAAAATACAATTTACTGGATAATTTAATAAATAATATTAGGTATAATTACTGTTTTTACATTACAGTGAGGCTTGGGTTTAGGGGTAGACGCTAATAAAATACAATTTAATGGATAATTTAATAAATAATATGAATAATACTCTTTATTAATTACTGTTTTTACATTACTGTGAAGCTTGTGTTTAAGGTTGGGGTAGGCGTAGATGTTAAACAATCCAATTTAATGAGTAATTTATCAAATAATATGAATAATATTGGGTATAATTACTGTTTTTACATTACTGTGAGGCTTGGGTTCAGGGTTGAGGTAGGCGTAGACGTTAAACAATCCAATATAATAAGTAATTTAATAAATAATATGAATAATATTAGGTATAATTACTGTTTTTACATTACTGTGAGGCTTGGGTTTAGGGGTAGATGCTAATAAAATACAATTTATGGGTAACTTGATAAATAGTATTGGTTTTTACATTATTGATGGTTGGGTTTAAGGTTTGGGTGGAGGTAGACGTTAATAAAATACAAATATATATATATATATATATATACACACACACACAGTTGAAGTCAGAATAATTAGCCCCCTTCGATTTTTTTTCTTCTTTTTTAAGTATTTTTCTAATGATGTTTAACAGAGCAAGGACATTTTCACAGTATGTCTGATAATATTTTTTCTTCTGGATAAAGTCTTATTTGTTTTGATTTTTGGCTAGAATAAAAGCAGTTTTAAATTTTTTATGAACCATTTTAGGGACAAAATTGTTAGCTCCTTTAAGTTATATTTTTTCTCGATAATCTACAGAAGAAACCACTGTTATACAATAACTTGCCAAATTACCTAACCTGCCTAGTTAACCTAATTACCCTAGTTAAGCCTTTAAATGTCACTTTAAGCTGTATAGAAGTGTCTTGAAAAATATCTAGTCAAATATTATTTACTATCATCATGGCAAAGATAAAATAAATCTTCTTCTTAGAGATAAATTAAAATATATTAAAACTAATATGTTTAGAAATGTGCTGAAAATAAATCTTCTCTCCGTTAAACAGAAGTTGGGAACAAAAATAAACAAGGGGGCTCATAATTCTGACTTCAACTATATATATATATATATATATATATATATATATATATATATATATATATATATCTTAACTAGGTTAACTAGGCAGGTTAGGCAAGTTATTGTATAATGATGGTTTGTTCTGAAGACTATCGAAAAAATTTATAACTTAAAGGGGATAATAATTTTGTCCTTAAAATGGGTTTTAAAAATTTAAAAACTGCTTTTATTCCAGCCAAAATAAAACAAATAAGACTTTCTCCAGAAGAAAAAAAAATATCAGACATACTGTGAAAATCTCCTTGGTCTGTTAAACATCATTTGGGAAATATTTAAAAAGAAAAAAATTAAGGGGGGGCTAATAATTCTGACTTCAACTGTATATACTGTATATATCACTGTTCATTTGAAACTAGATTACATAAATTTATATTGTCACAAATATGAGCCAATGGGGCAAAAACAGGTACCAACATAATGAAATGGTAATAAATTTCTGTATTTGTGAGTTTTTAAAAAAAATAATAATTCAATTTGCTGAAACCCAGAGGAAGCTGTGACCGAATGAAGACAAAATAAAAAGAGTCACCCCAGAGTGGATGAAAACATCCCCAACAGCACAGCAGGGTTAACCCATTCCACTCTTTTGAATATCAAAAACCAACGAACAGTGACAAAAGCACAAACCTTCTCAACTGTCATCTTTCTGGTCTCCTCAGAATGAGTAACGTCCACATAATAACCGGCTCCTGCGATCACGTGCACGCCGGTCTCCTTAGCCAGCTGCTTCAGAGCAGGCAGATTTCGGTTGATGCCCGTGGTGGTGTTCTCCACGATGGTTCCTCCTCCTGCTTTCCGGTAGCACAGCAGTTCCTCCTTCACGGCCTCCAGCTCCTGATTCAGCAGCAGGTTTTCGTGGTGACTGTATGGGTTCTGCTGCAGCCAGTGGAGGTGCTTCATTTCGATGGGCGCCAGGGAAAGACCCTCATCTCCGGGCGCTGGAGGAACGTGGGAGCACTCAAAGGACATGGTCAGGTGCTCGTGGGTCATGGTGCGACCCAGTTGATCGGGCTCTATTTGACCCAGCACCGTCTGCACTTTACCTCTCAGCTCAGACATGATCCTGTGTAATCAAAGGTTATTCTCATTAATGGAAAGTTTTAACTTCTGTGGGGGAAATAAGTATTGAACACCTCATGTTTTTTCCTGGGAATAATATTTCTAAAGGAGCTGTTGACATGGAATTGAACCAGATTTTGGTAAAAACCCAAACAATCCAAAAATTTTAGACATGGCAACCTATGTTTACATATTGTGCAAAGATGAAGACTTATATTTATATAAAGAAATCTGTGCAAACAGGTTTACAGTGATCACCAATATGGTTGGGTTTCATATTTATGTAAAAGACCACTATAGATGTATCAGAAGATATATAGATTTGCATTATCATGTACTGTAGGTAATTATTTATTTTAATTAATTTTTTTATTTTATATATAATATATTATATATATATTTATATATATAAAAAATAATTATTATATTAAATATATATATATATATATATATATATATATATATATATATATATATATAATTTTAATATAATAACTATTTCATTCTTTTTATTTATTATTATGATTATTATTATTATTATTTTCCATTTAGCTATATTTGTATCTATTCCTGTTGTAATTGTATTTTAATTTTTATTTGTTTGCTAATTCATTTTGGTGGCAATGTTTAAAAATGGGAAGGAAAAGTACAACCTTCAATGTACAAAATGTTTTGTTAAAGCTTGAGAAAATAATCACAAATGAACGATAAAAAAAACTATATATAAAAATAAACGGGGAAAAATAGTGCAATATTGAAATTACTGAGGAAGAGTGGAAAATAATTTTTAAAACACAGGGGAAATCAACATCCTCATCAGTCTGGAGGGAATTTGGTTGGAAAAATATTTGTTTTTTCGTCACCTCTGAGCAGAAGAGATACTTAAACAATAAGGAAACAGTCAGCTGGAGAATATGTGGCTCAAATGAAGCCAACATTCACATATTTTCTGGAAATTTTTACAAATCCAGGCATTTTAGCAAGAAATTCATAAATGTTTAGATAATATATTCCATATTTCCATTTCTTCACTGTAAAATGGAATTGCTTAGCCATTATGTAACTTATATTAACATTAGACAAATACTACTTATTTATTTATTAATTTATTTATCGATTTTTATTTTATTTATTTTAATTTAACTTAACTTTTAATTTATTTTATAATTTTAAATTTATTTATTCATTTATTTTAAATTCATTTATTTAAATTTTATATTTAGATTTTATTTATTTTTTATTTATTTATCTTAACTTTATTTAATTTTATTTATTTTTAATTTATTTACATTTAAATAATTTATTTATTTTCATTTATTAAAACTTATATTCATTTATTTAAAATTTGTTTATTTATTGTAATTTATTTTATTTAAAATTAATTTATAATTTTTTATAATTTTTTATGTATTAATTTATTTACATTTTGTTTAAATAATAAAAAATGTATTGACATTTAATTTTAAGTGTACAATTATTACTTTAAATGCCAAAATTTGCCCCAAAATCTAGAACGAGACTCTAAAATCCCACTGAGACAGGACAATCTGACAAGAAATAAGCCAATAAAACTATCAAAAAGCTATAAAACAGTACATAAATAACAGTAAGTTGACTTTCTGTAAATTAAATCTCACAGTTCTGTTTGTAAAAATGCTAATTCTGGTTTTAAATGCTTATAATAATACTCACATTAATAATTACATTCTTTAGAAGTGTTCAACTCGTTTAAATATCAGTGTTTTGCGGGTAATGAATAGCTTGGCTTCTGCAAATGACTCATCTAGACTGTCTAATAAGAAGTAGACATGTATTGTCGCTTGCTGGTTTGGACTTTGACTGCTTGTAAAACACGGACTGCATCAAAGTATAGTCTTTGGTTGCATTCGGTAAACCGTGTCAAATACGAAATACTTGAGGAATGTTTAAATCACTTGCATAGCATGCACATTAATGTCCGTATTTACTTGCACATGCAGTCGAGATAAACATCCTATTATTAGTACTGCTGTTTGATTACATTTAAAGTAGCTACACACGCTGCAAAAACAAATCTGATGCAATCTTGTCGTCACTCAACACTGCATGCAAATGATATTCTAGACAAATGCATACATAATAATAGTCGAAATAGTCATTAATAATAAACAATAACGGAGAGGGAGAGAAGTAACGTTAAGCAAGTGCAACTTCTAGGTGTAGTTACAAGTTCTCGCGGTTATAAGTACGTGTCGCGAGATACGTAATATTACATCTCTAACTAGTTCTAAACACAGTTGAAGTGCTCCAAACGAAAAGTTAAATACAACTAATGGAGTCAGTACCTCTGGTTTGAAGATGCGGAGCCTATTCTTCAACACTGAAGCAGTGCTTAATGTACACCACGCCCCTTTCTGGTGACGTTTGTTTGTGAGGTGAACTTTAACCCTTCTGTGGAAAATAAACTAAATCCTCACTCGGCCGAGCGCCATAAAGCCTGTTATTACAAAACACATAATTTCAGTATCAGTATCTTTTCACACATAATTTCAGTATCTGGATGCAGCCTTTATGATGCAAGCTGAGACTGCATCACTCAGCGATGCAATGTCAGACACAATGCACTCAAATGGACCTAGTGACGTCACTGTGACGGGTAGGGTTAGGGTGGGGTTAGGTGAGCCCATTAAAAAGCATTGGATGCAGCCCAGATTGCACTGCGCCAGGTCTGCAGCCAGACCCCTCTCCATAATTTGGACATTATTGACCATAATAAATTATTTAAACTATTTATTTATATATTTTTAGCTAAACGCCTACTAATAATTGTTGTGAATGCAGATTTATCTTTTTTTCCAATTGTAAACTTTATTCTAATATATTTTAATTGTTAATTTCAGCCTTTTAAAAACCAAAAAATGCCAAAAGTAGTAGTTAATTAATGCATTAGCTAATGTTAACCAATCAAGCACGTTTTTGTGGTATTTCGTTGAATTTATCGACTCGATCATGTTATATTATGTTAAATATCATACCATAGGCTCCAAAATGTAAAGTTTTGCATATACACTGAGGTTGGACAATGAAACTGAAACACATTGTTTTAGACCCTGCTGAAAAATCCAGCTTAAACCAGCCTAGGCAGAGTTTGGGTGCATATTTAATTGCCAAATATGAAATTTAATGGTAAAGTTGGTCTCCAAAATTTGGAGAATTTGATGTCTCCCTATTCAAAGAATTGCACTTGCATGCTGAGAGGCATTTAAAAGATGGCCACTGAGTGAAAAGACTTGTCTTAAAGGGCCTATTTACAACCTAATGAAAACAGAGGCCAGATGTGTTTGTGTGTTGTGATATATCTCAAATCTCAAAGTTTTAGTTTTGTTATGTTGTATCCCAAATCTTCTTCACACATTGGGAAAAGTCATTTGTATGCACCAATGTGCACACCAATACACAACGCTCGATCTAACCATTGATCCTGGATTTTAAAGTGGCACGTTGAGCTGAGCAAGTGTGATGTAAGTGATGGTGACAGATCCCGCAGAGTACTCTGACCAGACACTCGTGGACAGAATTAGTCCCGAGAGAGAACGAGGAACACTATTAACTATCAGCCCACTGCAAATTGGCGAAACAGCTGTGAGCGTCTCGTGTCACTACTAATAAATCCCCTTATATATACAGTTGAAGAGTTGTTAACCCTCCTGAATTATTAGACCCCCTATCTAAATTTATCCCAATTTCTATTTAACGGATAGAAGATTTTCTCAACACATTTCTAATCATAATAGTTTTAATAACTCATTTCCGATAACTGATTTCTTTTATCTTTGCCATGATGACAGCACATAATACTTGACTTGAAATTTTTTTAAGACACTAGTATTCAGCTTAAAGTGACATTTAAAGGCTTTAATTAGGCAAGTTTGGGTAATTAGGCAAATTATTGTATAAAGGTGGTTTGCTGTGGACAATTGAAAAAAATCTTTTGTTTAAGGGGGCTAATAATTTTGATCTTAACAAATATTTTAAAATAAAAAATTGCTTTTATTCAAGCCTAAAGTAAACAAATAAGACTTTCTCCAGAGGAAAAAAATATAGGAAATACTGTAAAAAAAATTCCTTGCTTTGTTAAACATCACTTAAAAAAAAAAAAAAAAAAAAATATAAAATCATATATATATATATATATATATATACATATACATAATTTTCTTTTTATAATATTTTATTTATTTATCTTATTATTTTATTTTTTTATATTATTTTATCTCATTTATATCACATTAACATCTGAAATCTGACTTCTGGTTTCAACTGTATATAAAAAAAATACCATGATATCCTACAACTGATGCATGAGCACACCTTGCTTTGCATCTTATAAACACAACCAAGCCTTTAAAATACACTGTGGACCACCCCTTTAAAAACATGCTAAAGAAAAAAAAACAAGAGTCCTAATAAATCTGACTTTTACTGTAACTCCATACAATATAAGATGATGATAATTGAGCAAGTGAACGATTTTCTTCTTTCTTAAGTGTTTCCTGCATCTCTCAGCGCTCTTGTTCAACTCAAATCCACACGCGGATGAAAGAGTCGTCTCTCTGAAGCCTGTTCATATGTTCTGACCAGCGTCTGCGTCTCACCTGAGCGAGGAGGAAGTTTTATCTTGTCGCATCTGTGGAGATGTCAGGCAGAAGATTATTCAAAGCTGACACGCTGCTGCAGCCTCGGGTGTGAATTAGTTCAGCATAATCTCTCTATTCTGCCTGATAGACTTGTAACCCATCACAGTTTATGCAAATCGGAGATTCTCTGGCACAAGACTGGGAGATTCATATCAGCGTGTGCTCCACATAACACATCTGAAGTGTTGCGAGAGGACTTCAGTTTACGCTGCGCCAAAAATGGTGCAATAATAGCTGCAAACAGTGATTTCTTGTACATTTGTGAAAGAAGCAGGCCAGACGAAATATCATTTGCACTTTCATTTACTTGACCAGCATAGAGGATATACAGTTGAAGTCTGTATTCGCCCTCATGTGATTTTTTTTCCCAATATTTTCCAAATGATGTTTAACAGAGCAAGAAAATATTATCTTATTGAGAAAGTCTTTTTTTTATTTTGGCTAGAATAAAAGCAATTTTTAATTAAAAAAAATACATTTTAAGGTCAATATTATTAGCCCCCTTAAGCAATTTGAAGGCAATGACTGTAAAAAATATGGACGACGCGACAGCCCCTTTTCCCATTGAACGCCTTGAGGGCAAAACGCCTGCTTGATGGGCACAAACTGTCGCAAAAGACTGCTGAAATTGGAGCCTTGACATGCGCAGAAGGACTGTCTGATGGAGCCAGAGGAGGAGCCGCGAAAATGAGCGGAGTCGAGCTTCCAACCAAACGCTTTATGTAAAATCAACCACGCCCCCCGAACTTCTCAGCATGCGTTTGCTGTCATATCAACACAAATGGATGTAATAACGTTAACAAATATGAGGGTTTTATATATTCAATCGCGCCAGCTCCGGGCCGCAGCGCATAACCTACTCGCGGCGTCGCGGGCTGATTCCGGCTCGCATGCGGCAGCGCCGGCTCGCTCGGCCGCCGCATCTGGCTCGATTGACTCGGGCTGGAATCGGGCGGTGAGTCCAGGCATCCGGAGAAGGTCCAGCAGAGGTAGTCAGTCTGAGCTCTGAGGGGTAAGTCTCCGGCAGGCGAGAATCTAGCCGGAACTGGCCCGAGTGTATTTTGCTATCTGGGTGGTTAGGCGTGTATCAGCAAACTAATAAAGCCCGAAAAAAGCCCTGACCTTAGCGAATAAACAGTGTTCCACCAGGATCATGTATGTCAGAAACTGTAGTTTACTGCTGAACTCATTTTGTCATAGTAAAATAACACAGAAATCCAATAATAACACTTCAGTCTCCTGCCGAAGCTCAGACGCGCTGCTTTGAGAAACTGTCAATCACAGCTGTCAATCACGATGACACGCCCAGCATTAAATTACTGCTAAAAACAAACTGTTTACAAAAATGAAGATCTGCACCTATTTCAGCACAATAACCAGTGCCTTAATCGACCAGAACCATCTTTCGGGACATTTTATTGCAAGTGTAATAATTTTTTTTATTTGGGCTCAAGTCTCCTTCATTAACACGGAGGAGGCGGGCTTTATGACTTGTACTGCAGCCAGCCCCCAGGGGGCGATCTAACGGCCGAGACCTTCACTCTAACGCAGGCTTGCGGCACACTTGTTTGAAGGCCTGTGACTGCTGTTAGTGTTTCCCCAAAGGTTTTCAGACTGTTTAACTGTAGGGAACTTGTAAAATGATCAAATTTCCTTCAAAAAAGCTAACTTAATCTATTTGTGTTGGACAAAATGAACAAATTGTGTGGAGCCTTGCATTTTATTTACAGTGCGCACACAGTTCTGTCCAAACATCTTCTAACAGTTGATTTTGCATTATAGGTGCCATTAAACGGCTAATCTGTAGGTCTTACGCTAAACATGCTGAGTAATTCTAACCCAATCATAGGTAAAATATGAACAAAAACAACTACTGGGTTTTTCTTTCTTTAATTCAATCTTTTTTTTCATGATGCTAATGGTCTAATCCAATTCAATTACCTATGCTAAGCTAAGCTAAAAGTGCAGACCCGGAGATCGGCTGAATGGATTCAAAACTGGTAAAACTCACCTGTTTAACTCTAGAGGACTTGAAATGAGTTTCCCTTAACCTGAGTGTGTTTGAAGCTCTTAGGCTTCCAATTCAATTCAATTCAACTGTTTATTGTCATGTGCACAGTAAGGAAACACGTTTCCCTGTACAATGAGATTCTTACTTTGCCGTCCACAGTGAAGTCATACACATAACATACACATCATACACAACATACACATAAATACACATATATACACAGAAGTGCCTGAAGATTGATTGTAAAATGTAAGTATATAAATATCTATGAAAATAAACAATATGTAAACCTGATTTGAGTAATGAAACAGATGTAAACAGTGTACAGTGTTTTTTTTTGTGCTTATTATGCAAAAAAGTGCCTAGTGCAATTGGATTATGTGCAAAAAAAAGAATAAAAAATAAAATAGTGCAAAATGGGATGGAGTATGTAGTGTTGTACTGAGCAGAAAAAGAGACTGTTATGTGCGTTGGTTATCTGTTTAGAAGTCTGATGGCTGATGGGAAGAAAGAGTTCTTGAGTCTGGCAGTCCTGCATCTCACACTCCTATACCTCCGCCCTGAGGGTAGGAGTGTGAATAATCCGTGTTGTGGATGAGTGGGGTCTTTCAGGATGGAGGCAGTTCTCTTGTGGACTCTGTGATGGTAGATAGTCTGCAGAGAAGGCAGTGGGGACCTGATGATCTTCTCTGCAGTCCTCACCA